AATGTACAAAATAAAATCCTTCATTGACTCAACATGAAAGTTTAATAGAACCCTTAAAATAATACATTACTTATAAGTAGTTGATAATTGGCTTTAAGTGCTTTATTAACTTAAAGCAATTCCTTTATATAAATTTATATTTCTTAAATACTAAATGAATAATTTTGAGTATTTATTTTTTATATAGGTACATACTTCACATAATAACTGTCAATAATATATATTAAGCTCATTTGAATCTTCAAAAACGATATATCGGAGACCCTGAGAGGGTATCTGGTACAAACTGAGAGAGAGAGAGTCTGCGTTTCGTACTCTATGTCAACTCTGAATCAGCTTCAATTCCTCTTCGAACGCAAAAACTTAAACCACATAAATAAAATTCCAAACTACAAGCAAGTCATCAGTCCATCTTTGCTATATGGTTTTGTCGCACACTTTCCACAGCGGTAGTCCTACAAATTACATACGAGTATTAGTTTCTAATTGTCATAGCACCTCGAATTTTGGCTATGCGTAATACTACGTCCATTGTTGGGGTATTGTATCTTGCCATACATATGTATACACTCAGGAAAATATGCTCTAACCACCTGCTAGTTAAATTGACCTGATCATTTTATTAGATTAATTTTAGCCTATGTGGGCACGAAGATATGAAAATCATGATTAAACCAATATGATGCGTCGAGGTAGAATATTTTAACCTGAGTTTTAATTAAAATCTGGTTAAATCAACCAAATAATTTTCTGAGTGTAATTCCTCCACATTTTTGCTATATTCAGAAAAGTCTTAATCTTTTCTAGATCGATGTTGGGCCTTCTGTTACATATGGTATATCAATTCGTTATGGAAAATTATTTTCCTTTAAAGACAAAGCATTTTTCAAACATATGTATTAGTGTTACTTTATTCTTCATACAATATCTGCTCAAGTCAATTTTTAATGGTTTTAACTGCAGTTCATAGTTGTTTAAACAGCTGTGACCAATTATAACTTTAATCTTTATTCTTAGACTGGATCTGTTCGAATTCAGTATGTTTTTGGTTTTCTTCTAAGAGTATTTCAGAAAATAAAGCTTTGTAATGCAGTATTCTCAAGAACAGTTGAGCTAGACTTTTGAATTGTTTTTTTTTCTGATACTCGATTTCTCATCGTAATCTCAAAAGGTATTTGAAGAAGCATCTAAACGTCAATAGTTTTTTGGTTTCTTTAAATTTAACTAAATCGTTCTTAGTACTTTATTTGCTTGTATATTGACTCTCAAACTTTAATAGTTGACTTCCATAAGTTCTGATATAATCCAAAAATTTTTTCATGTTCTGACGCAATTTTACCCTAAAAACATTGACAGGACCTCGTCTTATTGATGTTATTGTGTATTAATAATCAACGAAAAGTATTTTATAAAACCTTTCTATCAAAGACAAACTTAAAAGTTTAGGTAAATTAAATCTCGCTAAGGTCATTGAATTTTAAGACTAAACATTTTATGAAGTTAGAGCTTCATGTTTCTTCTAATCTTCGCTTTGACCTTTTATCGTCCACGCAGATTACCCATTACATATAAATTTAAAGACACTATCTTCTTCTTTACGATACCCATTCAAAAGCATCTATTTCTTTCTTATAACCTCTCTATTATACATCGCTTGGCTTCATATCAACTGATTGGTATAGTAAGACATATTCCTGATTTTTTACTAAGCAAATTATATCCTTTTTAAATACTCATAAAGTCAGTCATGCTTTATTTTATTTTATTTGATTTTTATTACTTTTATTTTTATTTACTTTTATTTTATTTCATTGACCGACATTGTACCGAGATATATACTAGTTTTAACCTTTTAAGGAACATACAAATTCTTTTTGTTAGTTTAGATTAAAATAACTGTCTGACTCCAATTTAAAAGAGTTTTGTTAATGAACTCTAAATAACTCTATGTGAGAATTATTTAAAATTTGACAATATGGATTATGTTTTACTCTGGTATTGATTATATATGTGAAAATAATATAAAATTATCAATTCTACCCTTTTAAGAAAAAATTTTTTAAATTTGAGCCATAATGGCACACTCGTATATGTAAATATACAATTAATATAAAGATAGCTTTATTATTATTGTTATTATACTATAATCAATTAAATTTATTTAAAACTATATTCATTTAAAATCATATAATTCTTATTACAAAAGCTTCAAATGATGCCAATAGTATTTTATTTAAATTTGAATTGGATATTAAATTGAGAAATCAATAAAATATTTAAAATTTTTCACATCAATATAGTGAATATCTATAAATTGAAAGCAGTTATGCAGATACAAATGCATCTAGTAAATAAATTTATTTTTAAATAAATGAATAATTTTTTAAATAAATTGTTTTCATGTGGGGTGAAATAGGAAATTTTCTTGAATATTTCATTTCCTCAACACTTTTACTGATAGTCCTTCAAAATATTGAGGATATGAGTTTGTTTGAATATATCAGTCTACAATATTTGAGTATGAAAATATGAAAATGTATCAATTTTATATTTCTGTGTTTATATACAAGCAATATACCATATGTATAAAAATTATAGGTAAAATGAAATTATGTGTTATGATAATCCCAAACAATTTCCCCAAACAATTCATAACAAAATTTTAACAATTTCTAGAACACTATGCTCTAAACATAGCAAAACTTAATTGATCCACATATGATTTATTTATAGTATTTTTTAAATTCATTTTAAAATTTGAAGCACTTATTTTAGTGTTTTTAATATATTAAAAAAAATTACATTTGAAGACCAAAATTTTATCAGTTTTGTTTTAAGGCGTTTTATTATTCAAATTAACCTCTTGAGATTGTCTACTATGAGGTTTGGATACATGTGAAGTTATACAAATATTTATGAGGATACATGTTCTATATATAAATAGAAACGCAATGGTAATATAAAACTTTTCAATGCCAGATAATGTGGTCACTTTACGTTTCGACTTCCGTTTACTCGTTTCGTTTACTCGTTCAAAACTTTTGAATTCTATGTCAAGATATTTGAGTTGGCATATTGAGTTCATTACAGCTTTATATGTTGAAGGAAGTAAAATTAATATTTTGTTAGAATTATAAGGACTATTAGGATAATAGCAAATAGGTCAAAATGATCGGTTTCCTTACGAATATACTAGCATGCAAAAAGGATATCATCGTTGATTAAGTATTTTTATTTTTTTCATGCATTACCAAACCTCGGAGAGACGATTAAATAGACCATGGTCATACATAGTTTATCTATTTTAAACTGATTTAACTAAAAAAATTGTAATTTTAAAATTAATAATAACAATAATGACCAAAACACAGCATGCCACATAAAACTAGCTTGTCAAAGATGTGCTAGACATATTGTCTCAATAAACGCAGACAACATGCTTAGGAAAAACCTCCTAGACTATAAAGAATAGATCATAACACTACAAAGATCAACCCGGGGAATAAAAACTAAATATTGTGAACGCTGGACGCAGCCCCGACGGTGGCTGTGACAACTATAACTTATAATATATTGGAAAAATGATCTATTATAATATTAAAACAATACAAAAACAATATTTGTTTAGCCTCTAAGACCAATTGTAGGTTTTTCATTTTGTGTGGTTTTCCTTTCATTTTCTTAATCTCTTCGTTTTATTTCTTAGACAAACACCAAGTGATTCTAGTAGAACAAAATCATCGTTGTTGCTCATGCAAAATTTAATTTTAATTTTAGCAATGAAAACTAAAAATCGTTGCGAATTTTCCATATTCTTTCATGAAGCTACAATACGATAAACTTCTAAAGTAGTCTATTGTTAAATTTCTGCCAGCATGCTAAGCAGGAAGTCATCATGTTAACCCTCACTTTAAGCAATAGTCGTAGCCAGTAGTTGAAAGCAAGATGAGGTTAAGACTTTAACTGCTTAACTGCTTGACTGCTGCATTGTGGTTTAAATGGTTTTGGCTGTTAAATTTTGTATAGGCAAATTTGTGGATTGCAAAAAAGCTATATGGATTCATATAAAATGAGTTGAAGGAGCTAAGTTTTAACCACTTGCTATTATTTTATCAGAACTTTGCATATCAGTGCGGCCATGTGAATGTTACTTCTCCCAACTCCTCCCAATTATATGAACTTGATCCTCCATTGTTACGTGTAATTCGCCTGATTCTCCATTGTTTTCGTTAAGCAAAAAAAAAAATATAAACACGTATATAATTATATAAGCCAACATAGCTCTATATAGAGTTGTATATGGAATTTTCTTCAACGCAGCACATAATTCAGCATAAATAATTCATTATTACCACCTGATTGCACATAAATCAAAATTCGCCTACCTATCCTTATTCGGCATGTTGTACGAAGATACAACAAGATATATTAACCGCGTTTGCTGATATGTACATGTACACATATTTGTACACATATAGGATATACAATATGTAGTATATCTTTAGTATATCCGTCAACCAGCTTTGATATCGTTTCATCTTTTGTCATTAATATACTTCAATGGTTCGCTTTCAACTTATTTAAAATGCATAAAAGGGAATTTATAGAGAAGTTATTAGGAAGTTTTGGGGAAACGTGTGTATGTACCTGTATCATTGGCCTTACTTCCTTGATTGTTTTGTGTCGATATATGCAGCAAGATTTAATCTCATACGTTTTGTTTTGCCCTCAAAATAGTTTGGCATTGACACTTAATTTAAGTTTATGCCATTTGCTTGACGAAAACGGAAATCTTAAGCTGCTTATTGAAGTGAAGCCATTAAACTCCATATTTAACAAAAACAAAATTTCAGCAAGTGAGACTCAAAAAGGAGTGAGTATGAAAATACTCGGAAAGTCAAGCGAACTTTCTTTGAATTTTAATTTGAGTGAAGATCTTCATTAAGCACCTTCGTTTAATCAATGTAAATTAGCTGATAATAAAAATAATTTCGAAAAAATTAATAATGCAAAGGTCTTCAATTTAATACACAAATAATGAAAGTGTAGCATTTACTGGTAAAGAAATGCAGGATGCTGTGGTCTCATGCTCACTCTAACTTCTTCATTTATTTCCTCTACAGTACTCTCTTCGGCTTGTAATTGAAACACTCCATCCTGAAAAATACTTAACGATTAGCTTTTAAACTCTTTTTGAATAGTACAAATAACATATGTTTAATTAGGTTCAATACCTTTATTATTCTTTCGCACATTTCCATTTTATCATATAATATTGCATGTAGACCTAAACGTTTAAGAACAGAAACATCGTTTATCGGACTGTAAGTAGTGTAGCAAAACATGACCAAACCTCGATTTATAGCCATGTTCACCTTAATGTAAAAAAAATTCAAATTTGTCACTGATATATAAAACTGTTACATACCTGACAAGTGTCTTGTAAAATAGTTTCAGTACGTGCAACAATACCTAACAACTCCATAGCATTTGCATTATATACCGCCGTTTGCAAGCTATTGGGTCTTGGATCTCTAAATGGTATACTGCCCTCTGGACACTCTTGACTAATAAATAAAACTGGATAATAATTTTGTTTATATCGTAGCAAAGTGCATATATCTGCATCAAAACAAGAAAGTATAATACGACGTCCGTTGGCATGCCGAAATATGCATTGCAACATTATATCAACATACATATTTGGATCAAATTTTTGTTTTCCTCTTCCTTCCAATCTATTATTTATTAGCCTTTGTGCCCATTTTATTTCAATATTAAATCCCACTGTCAACGGTATGGCTTCAAAAACTTCCTCCAGCGTGGGAAATGGTAAGTGTTCAACAACATCCCTTTTAAAGCAACACTCCGATATTTCTTTTTCCTCCTGTTTGACTTCGTTAACCTTAAATGTTAATATTAATTAAAAATTATAAAAATATAGTTCTTTAATTGCTACCTTAAGACTTTTTAACTGCCTTACTAACAACGATTGTATGGGTATTTCCATAGTTTTCAAATATTTGCGTGCCTTTACCCAAAAATGTGCTTGAAAATCATGATGAACTATTGGCACCATGTCCTTACTAAGTTGAACATCAAATTCCACCATATGTGCTCCTTCTTCAACAGCAGCTTTAAGAGATACAATAGTATTTTCTCGCACCAAACATTGATTTGCTGTTACAAAGTTGGGCCCAAGCCCTCTATGACCGACATACAAACCAGTTTTCTCTGGATTCCAGTACCGCTCATAAGAAAGTTTCATGTCACAATATATTTCAGGTGTGGGTAATACAATAAGAAAATCGATTGTCACATAACCTACTATGCGATGTTTAAATGAGCAGGTGATTGGCACTTCAATTCTGCCTTCGGAACATTTAAAAATATCTGGCAACAAAAGTTGATAGGCTACATATATAGGTGGTTCGTCTCGAGCAGCGCGCATACCAAATAAATAGACATCCATATAAAAAGCTGTTGACCTAAAGTCTTCTATCGTAAAGTGAAAAATCACAAGATCATCAGGGCCACAGGGTGTACCGTACTCTGGCTGTAAGTGCAGTTTACTGTCAGTTTCACTTAAGACTGCAACTTCATTGAAAGCGAATGCAGGATCTAATTTACTATCACACTCAGTTAGTATTTGATGCATATCCGATGAAGTACTGGTCAGTACATCGGGTTTGCCACTTCTCTCTATAATAGCTTCGCACGGAGCAGCGTTTTTTAAATGTACCGGCTTAATTTTCACATTATACAGGCGAGGGCATTTTGATGGCTTAATCATACGAAACGGTGCATTGAATAATTTAAATTGTATAATTGTACCGGAAGTAAGCCATCCGCGATCATCGCATATTTTACCGTTTAGCAAACCGTATTCATCGATGGGTTTTTCTTCGCATTCGCAAATATTTTCTACAACTCTTGGATGGAGATGAGTTTCCCAACGACGCACTATTCTTGTTCCTGTTCTAGGGTTTTCAGCGCAGATTAAATAACGATACTCCATCGGTATTGCGCAGCGTATTGAAAGTACTGCAGACCAAATATTTTCATCTAATTAAAGTGATAATAAAACCTTAATATTGTATACGAATATAAGATCAATCAATAAATTTATTAACAAAAATTGTATCAATGTTTTTATGAAACAATCAGTTTTATCTTCATTTCTTACCACCTTCTTCCTTGTACAGAAAAACGCATTCATTCACATTCCAATCACCTAATGATGAACAATTTCCAACTACGGCAAGATGCTCATTTGGCCACAAATATCCATTATAACGTACTCGAAAAACACACTCGTGTTCTGAAACTGGTGTTGGCGGGGGAGGAGTAATAAACGTTTCTGTGCTGGTGGTTGCTGACGTTGTTTCGATGCATTTTTCGCATTCATATGCATAACCCCAACGTTGCATGTTGAAGCAATTAACTTATCGAAAAGGTTAACAAAATGTGTTTCGTTAAGTTTCTAATTTTTTAACATTTTCATAATCCTAATAAGTTTTATATAAATATATATAATTAAATATAGTAAATATATAAATAGAGGTATGGGCTAATTATTTAAAAAAATTTTATTCTGAATTAAATTTAATTCTGACACTTTTTTCCAAATAAAATCGATGATTATACAATATATAAAACCATTTCTTAAGTATATAAAAATATAATTATGATTTTTATAAATATAAAAATCTTCGACATAATTTTCCTTCTGATATTCTACACATCGAGGAACTTCCCACTTCTTTCCCATAGACCTCCCCAATCACTTGCTCTCTACTTTAGTGAGATGTAACACTTCCCCCACACAATAACTTTGTTCTCAATCGCGCATATAATAATCCACTTCATAGAGTTCTGAACTTTTGTGATACTGCGTTCTCGCTCCTACCTTAGATAAATTTAAAAATACAAATAATAAGCAATAAGTTTCATCCCCTGATTACTGGAATGCAATTTCAGCCAGAAGTCTGAAACAAACTGATGGCTTAGATCCTTTTTACTTATTTCTAAGAAGTAGTTTTAGTGGGCTCAAGTCTCGCAATGTGGCTTTCAATGTTTTTCGCTTACAGGAGAAAAAACATAAAGCTTTAACTGTTTGCATTAGTGGAGTGAAAAGACGTACTTTGTGATTGATTTTTTCAATTTAATAGGGGAATTCATACTCAGTGTGGCAAATACAAGTCATGAATTAATTACAATACTGTTAATTATTTAAACAACCATAAATAATTATATGAATTCTGCTGTCGTCAAAACAATATTTAGCAAATACTCGTAGATTACTGATAGCTTAAAACCTGTCAATGATTGCAGGTATCGATTTTGTTTTCTCAAATAATATTACTCAATTACAATTTTGCAAAGAGCTTTCTTAGGATCAAGTTTCTACAATGGATCACCTATTACCTATTACCAATAACCAAGTCGAGACCCTATGAAGCAACAAGTTCTGGAAACCGGATATGAGTTGCAAACATCAGTATTTTATTATTGTGTAAAGTTTTTAACTTTAATTTAACAAAAACCAAAAATCTTTTAACCCAACAAGTTGAGATTGTTTTGTGACACAATTCGATTATTTAAGACTGAAATTGAGCCCCACCAAAACGTTACCTACAGTTTTCTGTCTCAATGCAATAAAATCAAATTCAAATTCTAAACTAAACAAAACTTACATTCGACGTAGTTACGAAACTTTAAACACACAAAATCATGTGAGGACAATATTGGAAGCCATATAAGAGTCAAACTTTTGAGAAAAAATATACATAAGCAAGGAACAAAAAGCAGAAGAGACGATGAAGTCATGAGTAGTGCATTGCTTAATCAATAGAAACCTAAATCTAAACTCAAAGTAACTGAAACACACAAAACTAAGAGGCAAAACAAATCCCAAAGCGAATCAATCCGCATAATGGAAATGCTTCAAAACTAATGCAAATGCCAACAGAGTAAATGAAGCATGCACTCAAACACAATCTGTGACGACAACGACGAGGTCTGCTGTTATGTTAAGCATGCAGACGCAATAGAACTACGTATAAGGTGAGCTCTCATCACTATTTGGATACGACCAGAATGAGAAACAACGAAACCAACAAACCGAACCGAACCGAACTATAACTGCCATACTCTGTACTGTTGTTGTTTTTGTACTAAAAAATGGAATCAGCTTAAAGAGTTGCTGTAAGTACAATATTAAAACTTAAACAGTGTCGTCGCTGTTAGGTAACCTTCATTTATCTTAATTTCTTGATATATATTATCTACAAATACAATTTTCCTTTTCTATTATGAATAATTTAACAAATAGGAGAAGCAATTTCGAGACCTTATACCTTTGAAAATACTATTTTAAATCTTCCAAAAAATAAAAAATCTGTTTCACTCCTGCATGATAGGAATCCTTTATTTTATCACCTTTTTTTTAAATATCAGCACATCACTGCATATTCATTTGAAATAGCGCATCAAAACACATCACATCAATTTTAAAATTTTCGAAATATAAAAAATTACAAAAAAGCTGCAATGACGAAATAACGTAACTCTCAAGTGAAATCCTGTAAATGTATAAATGAATGAGATGAATGGCGTCAGTAAATGGACTACGAACGATAAGCACACACACATCCAGAGGTAGACGAACATACTTATAAACCAAAATGACTACATCAATGGAAATGGATAAAGGCCATATTATTTATGCGAACGAATTGTGCCCGTGGACAGTTTTTGGAAAAAAATATTTTCTGGCTAGGAATATTGACTCGAAATACGCATATTACGGATACTCGTGTATTCAAACTGAGCCATAACAATAATAGTAACCCAAGCACATACACAAACAGCAACAACAATTTAAACGGTATATTTCGATGCATGGACTAAACATTGAACGATTTTAATGACCCCGCATGCAAGATCCGATGGCAGCAACATATGAACGTGTACAATGTGAAAAGTAATAGATGGACATGTGTCTTTGGTCAGGTAGCAAGCAAAAATATCAACATTAACGTCACCATCATCACCATCATCATAGTCATCATTACAATCTTCATCATTATCGTCATGTACACCATGCCGCAGACGGAGTGGTAGTAGCAGGAACAGCTATAGCTACAGCTACAGCAACAGCCTAACAAAACTTTTGTTGTCCCAGCAAATACTGTAGACACAACTGCATCGATATCCAATGGGTTGTAGTATGTGCGAGAGACTTGCGGCAGCAGCAGTTAAAGGATTGCATGAGTTGCATGAACAAAGGCTATCAACATGCTGATGACTATGAAGCACGTAATCAATAGAAGCATTTGGCAACTTACGTTGGCGCATATTAACGTAATTAGTTCAGCAGATACAAAGGAATGGGTGATATATTTATATGACAGTGTATACTTGCATGCAAATAAGCTTGTGTATTGCATGCATTCCAATGCTACGTTTGCTGCCGCCACATTGCCGCCACACTGGCGCAATGGAAGTTCAGGTGTTGCACATGCGATTACGCATACATGTGTGGTGCATTGAGATTCGGTCGTTTCGCACACTTGTGCATACAGTCAAGTCGACAGGTAGGCAAACAAAAAGGTATCTGGTGCCATATGTTAACAGCATTGGCCAATCTCAGCGAGCTCTACGCCAGGCCGAAAACTTCACAAGCAACAACACACAATACAACAACTCTTGCACTTTCACCATCGGCACCACCGCGCTGAATTCACTTTTTATCACTTCATGTCCTGGCGTACAATTTACGTATTTACATATGTGCGTAATTGTGTGTGAGCTGTTGTGGGTTGATGGTGTTCTGGGTAATGGGTAATGGGAATTGTGCATGGAATTATGATGTCCAAAGGCGCGAGTGGCCATGTTAAAGTTTGGCTTTTTCATTTACATTCAAACTGGTACACGCACTCATACACATCTGCACTCTTATAAAATTGCACAATAATTGAAACGTGATTATGAACACATTTTGCGTTTATATATCGAGTACGTGGGCGTGAGTGTGATTTGGAATAGCATTTTGGAGGATTATTTCAATTGTCGACTTTACAAAAGTGCTGATGAAAATTTTATGAGTTTTTTTGTTTGTCTCACCGAACATTATAACGTGTCCTTACTATAGAATTAAAAATGAAAGTAGGGTATGCTGTAAATTTTATTAAATAAACACAACTTAAATAGGAACTAGTCGTTATGCAAACTGTTAATTGACTTATCTGTTTAAGTAGAATATAACTTAACCCTATAATATAACTATAAAATACTACTATAAAGATCCTTAATCCTTACAATAAGAAACTCCATTATTATTCTTCATAACATGTTTATTTGAAGTTGAAAGCGTCTAACACCAACAAATATGTTATGATGAAACAAATAAAATAGCACTGTGAATATTATGCTGTCTTCAAAGAGTAAAGGTACATTTTCTATTATACTACCACTCCCCTCTAGGTATTAGCTAACGTCACCTACGTCACTTTTTGAACTACATCTACGTTACTAGCTACGTCACTTTTTCAACTACATCTACGTTACTAGCTACGTCACTTTTTCAACTACATCTACGTTACTAGCTACATCACTTTTTCAACTACATTTAGCTAACGGTATTTCTCCTTGTTTAAAATCCATTTTAAAATCTTAATAGTTTAAATTCCACTAATAATATCCTATTCATTAAAAAATCGAATTATGTTTTTGCTATATGTTACCAGTATAGTTATTATTGTTATGGTAACTGGGGTACCCATTTTAGACTCAGCTTTCCTCTAGCCTTAGTAAATGATTTATAGCCGTTCTGCTAACAAATTTTTTGCAAAAAAACGTTAAGATCTAATCCTTACAGCCGAATTTAGATAATTTTATAAGTCATTCCTCCTTACCGATGAACAGTCTGAAAAGCTATCAAAAAAGAACTTTTAATAAAAACCCATTTCTTCTGGAGACAAAAGGCGGGCATTGACAAATAAAATGCTTAATTGTTTCTTTTTTCTATACGTTTCCATAACTTCTTTAATGAAGATAACTATTAAAAAGAATACTCAGTTTCTCGTCGTGGGTTCTTTCACACTTGTAACCAGAGAGAACTGCAACAAGCCTTGCAGTACATACAAAGTACCTTTTAATGAGTCCCCAAGAATTAATCTTGTTATGAGAATAACGTTTACCGGAAAGTTACATATGACCTAAGTGTCAAGCTAAAAAAAATAAAGGTGCGTCTACTAATGATCTTAAGGGAAAAATAATCCGGTACTGTTAGAGATACATCTAGGGCAGCACCAAGAAGTGTGAAACAATCTGTTTTTTCGATTCCTGCAATATTCCTACATCAAGAAACACAGATGGGTATGATGTCAGTTAGCCGACATATAATCATAATTAACAGTTTGATTCAAAGAAAAAGAAAAACTAAATAATACAAAATTTATATTTTCTTTTAAAAATACTAAATGCATGTCAACTGATAAAAATTTTTTATAACAGTTCTTCCAAAGTGC